CCAGTCGATCAGGTAAGCAGAAAGAAAGGCAGGAAAAGAGGAAATGACTTGGAAAAAAGGAAAGTAGAAAAAAGAGGAAAAGTTTGAAGGACAAGAGGAGAATTTTGGAAGGGAAGCAATGAAGAGGGAGGGAGGATAGAAGAAAGCAAAAATAGGATAAGGGAGTTGACGAAGGGGGGAAGGGGGGGGGCGCGTGAAGAGAACAAGGCAGGAGCAAAAGGAGAAGGTGGAGGGGGAGTTGGTAGTGGAGGAGGACCCGAGAGGGGGAGCGGCGAGTAGGAGGAGGTTGTGGTGAAGGACGAGGACGAGGAGGAGGAGGAGGAGGAGGTTACGGTGGATGACGGGGAGGAGGAGGAGGAGGTTGTGGTGGAGGAGAGGGAGGAGGGGGAGGAGGGGGAGGAGGATAACCTGAGGGAGTCAGGGTAGAGGAGGCGAAAGTCTGACATCCCAGCCTCGCACACGTCGATCACTGCCTGCGCCAAGTCCTTGGCACCATATCCTCCCTAACTGACGAGTCACGTGCGACGAGCGAGAGAGGAGGAGGGGGGAGGAGGAGATAAGGAACAGGGGAGGGAACGGTGAAGGAAAAGAGGAAAGAGAAGGAAGGAGGTGGAGAAGGAAGAGGAGGAGGAGGAGGAGGGAGAAGAAGGGAGGAGAAGAAGAAGGAGGAAGAGGAGGGTGGTGGAGGAGGAGGAGGAGGAAGAAGGAGAAGGAGGAAGAGGAACCTCGGCCCAGTGGTTAGCAACAACAGCTCGAGCTGCTCCAGCATCAAGAGCAGCTTGACGGATAATCTTGAGTTCTTCGTCCTGGACATCGTTGAGAGGCAAAGGACATCTCATCCACCTCTCTCCTCCTCCTCCATCCTCATCTTCTCTCCTCCCTCCTCCTCGCGCTCCTTTATCCTCAAAAGCACCATCACCATCACAATCCCTTCTATTCACATGACATCATGCAAGTATCATGGACTTGTCATCGGCAAACTTATCTACATGTTATCTTCATCATCATCTCCATCCTTTCTACTACAACAATCTCTTTACCGTGTCGTGCCACCTTCGGTTGATTGCAACTACAACTGGAACTCCAAACTCTCCAGCATTCTGAAAGGAATCGTGAGCAGATTGAAACAAATTGGCGAAAAGAAGCAGGAGTGACAACAGAAAACCAAAGGATGAAAGAGAAGGAGAAAGAGAAGGAGAAAAGGGAGGAGCAAGAGGAACAAGGTTTCACATCAAGAGCGTCAAAGTGCAAAAGCAAGGATGGAAGACAAGTAAGACCTGAATGTGCTTGATGAGGTTGCAGCAGCCATCCTTCACTAATTGTAAATTTTCCGTCTCGTAGACCTGAAGAAGTGTATCAATCCCGCTGCTGCTGCTGCTGCTGCTGCTGCTGCTGCTGCTGCTGCTGCTGCTGCTGCTGCTGCTGCTGCTGCTGCTGCTGCTGCTGCTGCTGCTGCTGCTGCTGCTGCTGCTGCTGCTGCTGCTGCTGCTGCTGCTGCTGCTGCTGCTGCTGCTGCTGCTGCTGCTGCTGCTG